GGGGTTCGCCAGGCCTCCCCGCCCGCCAGCCTCGCGGTTTTTCCCAAGTCGCCTCCGCAGGGGACTTTCTGACACGAGTCACTCGCTTCCTCCTTGGTGTCCTCGCGGGTCTTGACCTCGGTTAGAGCCCATCATCGCGCCCCGCTGCCAGGACTCCACGCGGCTCCCCCATCCACCCTCGGGGCAGAGCCCGGCTTCAGGCTCCTGAGCGCAGCGCCCCGACGCCAAGTGCACGCGGAGTGTGTTGCGAGAAGCAGGGCTGCCCCCTCTCTCCTCCCTTGGGCCCCGTTTCCGAGTGAGCAAAAGGGGAGAGAAACGCGTATGTTGTTCAGCTGATGATGCCAGCAAGGGGCAGGGAAGGGCAACAGGGCAACTTTTTTGGAGTAAGTGTATGAGCAACCCACAGGGAACGCTTTAAAAGAGAACAATGTCTTCCTTTCTTAATTTTTTTTTTTTGAGTTGGAGTCTCACTCTGTCGCCCAGACTGGAGCGCAGTGGCCGCTCCCGGCCACCGCAGCCTCGACCTGCGGGCTCCGGCGATCCTTCCGCCTCAGCCTTCCGAGTAGCCAGAATTACAGGCATGCGCTTCCACCCCCGGTTGATTTTTTTATTTATTGTAGAAATGAGGTCTCGCCAAGTTGCCCAGGCTGGTCTCGAACCCCTGGGCTCAGGCACCGTACCCGGGCCTCCCTATGTTCTTCTAAGCGATGGTTCTTAAAGCTACTGCAGCCTGCGCGGTGGCTCACGCCTGTAATCCCAGCACTTTGGGAGGCTGAGGCAAGGGGATTGCCTGCACCCACGGGTTCGAGAACAGCCTGGGCAACTTGGTGAGACCTCATCCCTACAATAGAACAAAAAATTAGCCAGGCGTGGTAGCGTGCATCTGTAGTTTTAGTTACTTGGAAGGTTGAGACAGAAGGATCACCCGAGCCCAGCAAGTCATTGCTGGGGTGGCCGTGAGCATGCCACTGCACTCCAGCCTGGGCAACGAAGTGAGACTCCAACTCAAAAAAAATTAGCCGGGTGCGGTAGGGTGTGCCTGTAGTTCCAGCTACTTGGAAGGCTGAGGCAGAAGGATCACCTGAGCCCAGCACATGGGGGCTACAGTGGCCATAATTATGCCACTGCACTCCAGCCTGAGCGACAGTGAGAATCTGACTCGAAAAAAAGAGAAAAGTTACTGGATCTAAAAAGGTGCAGTTTGTTCGTCTAATTTGGCAAAATGAGATATTTTTGAGCAGGGGGACTTTCTGGTGCTAATCATAGTCAAATATGATGTACGTGGTAAGCCAACAGCTATCTTAGGAAAGTGTAATCTGTATCCCAAACATTCAAGAAGCTTGTTTAAACATCTGGCCAGGTAATAGCCAGCCTGTATTTAACAGGTTCTCAAGGGTCTTACTTTTTTTCAAAACACCTCAATGGCTCCAAATTACAATAGAGAATAGAACCTAAACTCTGTAAACATTTAGAAAATTATTCAAAGCCATTGCCATCTAAAATTAGTCTTTCACTCATCAGCCGTCCTCGGAATCCTACCTGTATATACACACACATAGCATATTGGAAACTTATAGACACACACATAATGCATTGTATACCCACCCTGCCCCCTGCCTTGTGCTGTTGTTAATCCTCACAACAGTTTTATGGGGTAGGTGCCATTTTGATCTCCACCACAGAAGAAAAATCTGGGGCTCCATTGAAAACTGAAAGCCACACACTAAGACTCCAGAGGCCAGACTCCATGTTCTCTGCAGCGTCTGTGTCTGAGTCATTTCTGTGTCCTCCCCAGCGCTTAAAAGTTGCTTCACCCATAGCAGACACAAACTGACTGTCGACTGGGCTACCTGGCCGAGTGGGCAATACGAAACCCTATCCTACCATCGGGCTGAACCGGTTTCTCTGCCAGAAGGCTGGAGTCAGGCTACCCTCTCGAAAGCACGTTAAAGCTTTTACCATGTTGCAGACTCCCAGCACTCAGTGTAGCTCCAGTCTCACCATTCATCAATATTTACCTAGAGCCCTCAACAGCTCAGCAATGGAGAGCATGATTTAAAATAACACCCTCTTGGGGACATCTGATACAGCCTCTGTCTGTCCCATGTGGTCTTTAAAGTTACTTCCACCAACACAATCCAATTAGCTGTTCTCAAGTCAAATGGGAACGTGTGGATGCAAACAAACAGCCCTCAGGACATAGATCACCTATATCGGGAGTCAAGTGCATAATAAATACATGGGTGTTTAAAACAAAACATTTAGCAAAGATTTATCTGGTGCCTACTTTGTACCAGGCACTCTGCCAAGCCCTGAGGGTACGACAGTGAATGAGGCTCCATGTGGCCCTAACAGAACTCAAAAGCTCTTCCCTTGACTGTTTATCAGGAAGGGAAACTGGTGCCTGGGAGATTTGTTTCCTCCCTTCTTCCACTGAGAGTCAAGGACAGGCAATGCCAAAATCAACCTGCTAACCTCACTAAGGAGGTGCCAATTGCAGACCTTGTGCTGGACCCTGCAGAATAGAGTGAGAAGGAGGGGACTCCCACACTTGCTGACATTTTTGCCTCTGAAGAATCTGGTTTAAGACCTGTATCAGCAGAAGCCAAAGTCAACACTTTTTTTTTTTTTTTTTTTTGAGTTGGAGTCTCACTCTATCACCCAGACTGGAGTGCAGTGGCCGCTCCCGGCCACCGCA